CTCGGGGGGGGGGGGGGGGGAAAACCCCCCAGGGGGGGCCCGGGGGGCCCCCCAGGGGGGGGCCCCCCCCCCCCCCCCGGGAGAAAAAGGGAGGGGGGGGGGGGGGGGGGGGTTGCAAAGCACCCAAGGCAGGCGCCGTGACACTCCACAAGGGCAAGCCCACGCTCACATGAGGAAGGAAAACCCCAGTGGCTCTCTCCACAGGACTGGGATGCAAAGGAGAGGGCCCCGAGCCCCAGCAGGAGGAAGGGGAATTTCACTGCCTCGCCTGTGCTGCACTGGCCAGTCCCAGGGCCAGCCTGCAGTCCACACGAAGCAGTTCTCCGACCACAAAGTCACGGCAGCAGCCGGGAAGGCACATCAAGGGGTCTACGTCTTCTCTCCCGTCCCATCCCCACTGCAGATATCAAAAGCACAAGGATGATGGGGGCAACCCAGTCTAGAACAGCCCACGTTTTATAGGCTGGAAGAAGAGGGGCTCTTCCGGCCAGGCATACCAAAGTCCTTCCAGAGGCTGACTGGGTGGCCCCATAAGCCTCCCTCTCTCCCCCACCTCACCATGACCCCAAGCGATTAATTCATCTCTGCCATTTGGGCTAAGGCCAGTCTGCCTAGGCGGGCTTCCCTCGCCCTCCTCAGGGGATGGGTTCACAAGCCCCCGCGCAGCCCAGGATACTCGCCCGGCACAGCAGAGGAAATCTGAGCGACCGGAGAGGGACCCTCTGCTCCGAAGGCCTGCCCGACCCCTCAAAGCCCCATCCTGAATTCAGCTGAAGCCAGGATTCTACCAGAGGGTGGGATCCCTGGCTGCTTCTCTCTAGCAACAAGGAAACAACAGCCTCTGATGTTTATTATTATTCCCGATTATTAGTCATCTCTCAACTGATTCCTCTGGGGTGAGCTAGAACAATTAAAACAAAATGACAGCAGAGAAAATAACAGAAATTCCATGTTAAAATCCAGCACTAGCATAGTGCATAAAATGGGACATCGCCACAATTAAATCACTCTATTGCCCAGAGATCTGCACACAATTCTGCAGGACTAAAACTAATACAACGGTCAAATGCTGTCAGAAATTCAGGAGGCATACGATCCTGAAAGGGAAGGGCGTATGAGCAGGGCTGCCAACCCTGTGGCCCAGCCGGGCTGGGCAGCGGCTTAACCAACGGCTGAGTAGCCTGCGCTGTGGCCCTGGGGACACCAGCATCAAGCTGGAAGCACCTGTACCTGTTGCACAGGTGCCCACCATGCTGCTTGCAAGAGTGCAGAAATCTGCCTGGAGCAAATTCCACAGTGGAGCAGCTGGGAAACTGATCGCTACTGTGGGTCATGGGAAGGGGTCCCTTGTGGCCAGCCAGAAACAGGGTGAGCGAAGAATCACATAGCCGGGTAAGTGTCCTGGGAGAGCAGAGGGAGACACAGAGGGGGAAGGCTCTGAGCAACGGCTCACAGCACTCGCAGGTAGCCCCTGAGCCTGCATGATTCAGAGGTGGAAGGAGGAGAGGAGAGGAGAGGAGAGGAGAGGAGAGGAGAGGAGAGGAGAGGGAATGCGGCCAACTCCAGCATCACTCTGCCGTCCCTGCATTCGGAGAGCGTCATTCGGAGAGCAAATGCCTAGCAAGTACTTGGCCAGCAGCAGCCACGGAAAGAGCTGACCTGCCTGTGAGGGCAAGTCTGGCGTGGTGCAGGAGGCGCTGCCCCCACTGCCTGGGAGGGTGGGTGGGGAAGTGTTCACACAATACAGTTCAGAAAGGACACTGTCTTCACACATGGCAGGAGTGGGAAAAGGAGATGGCAAACGGTTGCTGCAGCTACAGCGTGTGTGGCCTCCTCTCCTTGCTTACCTGGGTGACCTGTCCTGGCAGCCAGCTGCTGAGGTGGAGTGGGGGTGGGCGCTTGTATCTGGAACCCCTCAGTGAGATTCCGATCACGGCTCTAAGCGGAGAACTGCTGCCTGTAGGCGCAAATTCCCCCGTGTGCTCCGAGATCAGGCTGCTTTGTGCAAAACACTGCTTTCATGCCCCCTTCCCGTCACAGCGAGGGTTTAGGGTGCAGTGTTTTGCTAGGCATTTGCAGTGTTTTGCTAGGAAGAGATGAAGCCAGGGCCGCAAACTTAAGGTTCTCTTTGGGGCTGCGGCCTCCCCTTGAGGGGTTGTACTTAGGGCATGCCATGACAGGGTGCGGAAATATAGCGTACCTTACACTCTGCTGTGGCAACATGAAGACAGTTGTTGTCAACATACGGGCATCTCTTTCTTTACCCTTGTTTCATTTAAGTTCTGGGGAGGCAGCTGGGATGGAGTAGCGCTGCTGAAGAGCTGCAGGGCACGAAGTGAAAGGTTTGCTTCCTGTCTGTGTTGCCCTGGACTCCACATGTCTGAGCCGTTCAGCCAACCTAGCCAGTGTGTCCTGCTGGCGCATCGTTCACACTGGAGGCCTCCCTCAGGTCCTGCCAGCACAGGAGGGCTTCTGCTGACTCCTCCAGGTCTGCAGCTGGCAGGACCTGATCCAAGAACCAAATCCTCCATGCTAATAGGATGCATATTACCCAACACCATTAAATAGCCCCATCATCCTGGTCTACTGCAAGTTTTTAATATTCAACAATTTTTATGGAGGACAAAGGTTAACTTTGGGATGAAAAGATCAAACTGCATTTTATTTTTGGATGGAAATGTTTCCTTTCTATGCCGTCTTTTTTAAAGTATAATTCAAGATGCCTTGAAAAAAGCTTAAAAACAACCTAGCTAATAGAGAAAAAAAATATGATGAATGACTCCAATGATTCATAAAATACAGGAGCAGTACATTAAACAAACCATGAATAAAAACAAATATAAAATTCCTATTTCATGATCCTGCATTGTATGCCAGCAGCCAATTTTGACTGGTGCCAATATTTGTATCAAAGGCTGCCTATTGCAATTTTCAACTGCGTCGTATTACAGTACCATATGTTAATGTAATCAGTACTGCCGTTTTGTGAATTCATTTGCAGCGCTGCATCACAGGGACATCTCAGTACACACCCAGGTTCGATCAGAAAGTAATTTACAAAGTTGAAGTTCTGAGATTGTAATTTGCTGCATGTTAACATGACAAAAAAACCTAACTTTTTACATATATATACATTGTGAAATACAAAACAACACAAAAGTACCATTAAAGAACAAAAACAGAACTGAAACATTACAATTTTTGAATAAAATTTAAAATATTGATAGCACTACACACCCACGCACATGCATATACAGAGAGAATTAATATATCACAGAACTTATTACCAATATTACAAATAATTATGCATAGACTTCAATCAAAGCACTCCAATTTCACCCAGTTGTAGATTACACCTAAAGCCCACCCATTCAAAAAACTGAAAGTTTCATTAAATCCTCCACCCACTGGGTTATCACAGGTGATCTCCTATCCTTCCGCTTTTGTAATATTAGTCTTTTAGCTGTCAACAGGGCATGGACAATCCACTGGTGCTGACCTTGTGTTAAGGTAAAAAGACAGGTAAGCTATTCAAAAGAATACGTATATCCTGGAATACTAAACAACTTTCCATCCCAAGATTTATCCAAATAAATACCTCCTCCCTAGCTGCCATTGGGCATGGCTAGGAGAAGGATTAACAGCACTGTACCTTTCTAGATGCCACAGCTGGAGGGAAACATTATGTACTATGGTTTTTATGAGCGCCCAATGCCATCCATTTGGGAAGAGGGTCTAGAAATGAAAATTCAAAACCGGCCAGGGAGGGAATCTTGGAAAAGACCAAAATCTAGTGCAAGTCAACAAATAAGCGCAATGGTATAAGGAAAGGGCAGGGAGTCCAAATTCACATTCTCTGATCAAGAGCTGTAAGGTTACTTATGATGGGGTAGAACCCCGTAAGAATTTACAAAACCAAATGTTCAGCTTCTGGAAATACTTGCCAGATATAAAGATAGAATACTTGCACATATATCATAAACAAATATTACTCTCTTTAAGTGTATTTATCATGCACCGCTGACATATCTTTATAGATGGCCATCTGTCAATGTACCATGAGACTACATTAATCAACTTCATCAAATTTAACGTCAGTTTTTGTGGTATGTCTCTTAGGTCTAGTATTCTCTGCACAAAGTCTAAATTTCCACTTAGATAGCACTCCCTGGGTAGGACCAGAAATCCAGCAACCATGTTTGGTATCAAGATGAAAACTTTTTGGACTTTCTGAAACTTGACACAGGACCAATCTACATGGTCTACCACCCTTACCCTCAGGAAGCTCAGGAAAGCCAAACTCTCTCCATCTAGGCTTCCTCTAGGATGGCAACATGAGTTGTCTATCATTTCTTACTGTTTGTTAATTTGCAGCTTAAAAGATACTATTTAAACTGTTTTATCACCTACACATCAGTATTTTTGTTTTGTTTTTAATTTTTCATAAACTGCATGTGGTGCTATATATCATTTTATTTTTGTAATTGCTTGATGCACAGGAGGAGTTGTATGTTCAGAAGTGTTAGGAAGTTTAAGGAGTATTCAACCATGGCAGCTTCTAAACATGAGAAAGCCAAATGGGCTTCCAGCAACCCCACCTCCACTGCCTCCTACCAAGATCTCTTAGGCTAGGCCAGAGCCGGGAGAAGGAGATTAAATTGTTACTTTGCTAAAGAATACATAATTGGAGATATGTAAGCAGTCCGAGCAGATGGAACTGCTCCAAGATTCAATTAAGCTACTGCAAGGATCTTTGGATTCTACTGAAAGTTGACTTAAGAGAATGGAAAAAATTGACTAGTAAACTTGGAAAATAACTTTCCTGCACATGAGTCCGCAATGCCTCTATGCACAATACAATCTCTGTGCATGTTTCAGTTTTGAAAGCATTTGTTGAGCTCTATCTGTGCCCTAAAGGCATTTCAACCTACACATAATGTTCAGAAGATAGTTGGATATGGAGTTACTGAACTATCATCAAGATTTGGGGAAATACCTACGTTTTTTCCTGTGTTCCACTAGATCAATGGCCTGCTTCGCTGAACATTTTGCAAACCAGTTGTCCCCGAGAAGAACTGTGATCTCATTGGTATGAACCAGTCTTCCCGGCATGAAAGCAAGGGGACCAAAAGGTACCTGCAAAGCAACAGAGCAAAGCGTAAGAAGGGAAGAGCAAGTATGCAGAGCAGTTTCCCCCTAACTTGGTGCCACCACAAATATCAGGCAGTATGCCATGGTTTGGACAAGGCTCCTATAAAGCAAAGTTAATTAATAATGTGGTCCTATATCCTAATTGTGGTTAGCACTGAGCTGTTGCTGGAAGTCAGTACACCCATGAAAAGCAGCAGTGTAAACATATTAATTCAGAACAATGCTAAGTAATCCCTAGCTTTTGTGAATGTACTAGTTTTTTAGTCCATATTCTGTGGTTAACCACCATGGTATCATTTGGCGGCAAGATCCACAGATCAACCACCACAAACTACCACAACCACCATGGTCAAAACTCATGAGAAGCAATCATGTTCGAACTTCCAGAGGGGTTCTTGTCCCCTTCAGCAAGAACAATAAAGAGCCTTGTAGCACTTTGAGGTCTATCACATTTTCACCTGAAGCATCTGATGAAGTAGACCAGTTTCCATGTAAGTTTATGCCAGAAAACTGGGTGGGGGGATAGTATCTTTACGATACCATAAACTCTTAGTTGTTTCAATCACATTCAGACAGGTTTGAAGCTACAAGAGGAACCAGAAGTGAGCAGAACTCAGTATATTCTAATTTTGTAGCGAACCAGCTTATTCCACCAAGTACAAGAGTTTCTTATTCTTTATTGGTGTACCCAGCTAAGCCTTGTAACGCAACGTGGCATTAGTGGCGATTGCCACATACAAGTCATGAAGCTCATTTAAGGTATAACCTTGTTCACGTTTATACAGAAAAAGGCCTACAACTTCCAGTATACCCTTGACAACACAGCTGGAACATTATATGTGCAGAGCATTGTGCCCTTAAATATAGTACCTGTTATCATCAGGATTAGAGTTAGACAAGAAATAGAGCGTGTTATGTTTTATTACAAGCAGTTTCAGAGCAGCTTTGATCACACTGAAATATAGATTTTGCAATCTACAACCATCAATCCATATTTAACATCCATCTAAAAGCACACAGATTCCTTCTCCTCTTGATTCCTATCAAGAGGAGAAGTCTAACCAAGATTCTCCAAATTGAGGAGGAGGGAGAAAAAATCTCTGGTTCAAGTAAAAGATTTTCAAAGCAAAAACCACATTTTATACCCAAATAGAAGCAAATTCCCAAAACTTTAAACTGGGGGAATATGACTATCTGCTTCTTCTGTACCTCACAGGAAATTATTGTGTACTGTCAATTAGATTTCCAAACGATAAACATAAAAGTGTCTGATCTTGTCATACATCTACCAAAAATATGGATATTACTATACATTTAAAAAAACCTTAGACTGGAAAGAAGAAAACATTTATAATCAATCATTGCTAACTATGATACTTTCATTACGGTAGCTGCAAATAGGTGTAGAGCAGATAGAATGTTTCAAATCTAACCACGGTGTTATGCTCCTTTCATCTTACCTTCTTCTTCAGAGCTAGCCACAATGCATAGGGGTGATTGGCTCAAAGCAGGATTTGCAAATTTGCAGAATTTTCTAAGCATGGTTGCAAATTTATGAGTGTTAACATCAGTACAGGTATATCATTTACAAGGACAACAACAAAACAGGAAGATGAATGCAAGAGGAAGGCAGGAAAATGGTACACAAAGAGCCACATAGTTTATGGCACAGCCACACTTGGTCATGCTAAAACAATCTGTCTTAATATTTCCACTGAACCAAAGAGTACCTACCATAACATCGTAAGATAGTTTATCAGGCAGTGTACTAAGTCGTTCTTGAAGAGCTCCATAGTCACTCTCTACCTTCTTCCTGTTGACAAATTAAAGCCAGGTTACTAGGAATCCCAAATGCTAGTAGGCTTTAGGAGCATGGTAAGATAATACTGCTAACAATGTTTAAATCAGGTTCTTAATATAAAAAAGCAGAGGAAATGAGCTTACACATTACAAAAAGTGAGCCTCTCAGGAAAGGTTTCAAGGCATTCCTAAATTCTTATGCAAAAATGATGTGTGAGGCTAACGTTTAAAATCATGCAAAAGCATGATTCCCAGGCATGGATAATGCTTCTCGGAAGGCAATTTAAAAATGAGGGTTACAGAAATATTTTCTTCGTCAAGCTCCATTAGGCTACAATCTGATACCTACTGGGAGTTAGCCCCACTGAACTCAATGGTACTTACTTCAGAGTAGTTATATGTAAGTTTGCACTGCTTGTAAATCTTAGGATTTTTGACCGAATGGAGTAATGTATGTTATTTATGTAAGCCGTCCTCAGGCTTTTGTGACAGAACGGCATATACATTTCTTAAATAAATAAATAAATAAATAAATAAATAAATAAATAAATAAATAAATAAATGTATTCTTGTTTTTAAAAACTGCTAGAAATACAGCTGAGGTTTAAAGGAGCATGTGAAGAGAATGGGCAACAGGCATTTTTCAAGAAGCTACTCCTTTTGCCTCAAGGTGATGAATGGAAGTAGTTTTAACAGAAAGAGAGGTCTAGCCCATTCCTACAGCTTCAGGGATGGGTACCAGATACAGACTCTGCTCCCAGCTGGCAATCTAGGGTAGGTTCCCACAGCCTGGTGGCTTCAAGATTTGTTGAGCTACAACTTCCAGTATTTCTTAGGTAGCAGCTGAAAGCCATATTCCAATGGATCTTGAGGGCCAGACGGGGAACGGATAGCCTAGACCACTGGTCTGAAAGGACATTTCTGAGAGGACTTTAGCACCCCTACCAAGCATTGCCCCAAGCCTGGGAATCAGAAGTTCTCACGGAGTCAGTACAGTAGCACTGCCAGTCCAAATTCCAGAATCTTCTGCCCTCTTATTGGTTTCATCAACAATTTTGCTGCCTCAAGGCAGCCTGCCTACTCAGGGACTAGCTAAAACTTGGACCTTAGAAGGATAGGAGGAGGAAGGTTTCAGGACTGGGTGTTAGAAAAGTCTCGTTCCATTTGTGCAAGAGTTGTGTTGACTCTGCGGTGCCTGCAAGTGTGCGCAGTTGCCTCCCCCTCCAGCAAACAGTTCTGTGGCCTTTGGGAAGGGTTCAGAAAGAAGACAAGGTGAATTTCAGAGAGGGGAAGGTTCTAAAAACACCCTACCCTACTCTTACTAGGATTCAGCACTACCCTGCTTACACCTGCAGGAAAAACACTCCTGCACTGCACTCTGTAGAGTGCCCTTATGCCAGACCTTATCCTATATTATATTTGTGTGGACAGTCAAAGTCTGCAGCAGGCAGGGAAACGTATTATGAAAATGCTGATAAGTTCTGACTCCAGGTACACCAGTGGGCATCTCTATAATATCCATCTTATTGGAAATTAATGCAGCTTCTGAATTTTAAACATTAGCAAAACATATTAGCCTTGGACTATTTTCTACAAACTGATAGTCACAATTTAATATGAGGAGGCATAAAGATGTCCATGATTTCTCCCTTTCCTATTCTTATCCATGGCTTGCAGCTTATGTGCATTTAAACTAAAAAAAAAAACCCACCCCCAAAATCCAAACACTTGATACAGATGAACTATAAATTACTTGCTCAGAGGTCTATCGGGCATGAAGAAAAAGCCTCTTAAAATAAATTTAAAATATTATATGCTTGATGGCGTATAACCAAAAGTTTAATCTCTCCACTAAAGGGGGCAGTTCCTGCAATTTTGCAATAACCCCGCAGACAATAATCAAGAAAGCTCCTGTTGTTCTCTCTGTAAAATCCTAGTAGACGCAGCATGGATGTAGCATAATTTGGTATCTGTTAAGATCAAGTGTTACCTCTCAATAAGTCAAAAGAAATTATACACCACTAAATATACCTTTTCCCTTCAGATACTCATATGAAACTTCTGTTTACCTAAGATGGTTCCTATTAAGCTCAAAAGCAACACATTAAATGAGCTACAAAAACAGGCCAGTGATATTATTTTAAGGAATAACAGTCACTCTAAAGTCTCAGATTTACCTAAGGATTTAAACTAGTAAATTTTCATTGCACTTGGATGAACTAGAGAAAGATCATTGTCTATCTTTCAAGGCGTGGGGGACCCTTTATAAATAACAGGCTAGACTAGCCATACCCTATATTTTAGGTATCTTTCATGGCTGCTTGGGTGCCCATCCATACTATACTTTGCAACTGTATAGGTTGGCCAGGGCAACTTATTTTATATTGCTAACTTGTTAACTTGTTTTATATTGTTAATTTATTGTATTTTAATTGATTTATTTGTAAGCCGCCCCGAGGCTTTGGCGAATGGGGCGGCATAGAAATTTTCTAAATAAATAAATAAACTGACAGTTTTCTTGGAAAAGTAACAAATATAAAATAGTTGAACTCTGGGGTTTCTAGAGATTTAGAAGATTTTCTGTATAGTTGTTCTGGGTGGAAAGACAAGAGGAAATAAGCGTCTTTTGAAAGAGACGTGCATATCTTAAAGAATGTTTATACTGGTGCAATAGAGAAATAACACAGAAATGTGGAGGGTGCAATTTAATAAGCCAGGTCACAGTCAAAATTATGCACCTTCATATATTATCTGAATTTTGTTAATTTTCTAAAGAATACAGACATGGCAGTTTTCTAAAGACATATGCAAGTTACTGTCACTGATATTTTAAGCATGCGATCAAACACTTTTCACTTACCAGTGCTGAATTTTTTCTTGGCAGCTAGTGACCACCTGTCATTAAAACAGATAACTGTTCATGAAAAAACAAGGCTAAACACACAGCTGCAAAGTCAATGTTTCAGAAACTGGAGCAGGAGCTTTACAGATCTGGTAGCGTCTCACTATACATTTTTATTTGTCAGTGCAAAGGCGCAGGAATGTTCTTTCTTAAACAGCACACTTTATCACAATGCTCTAATCCAGACTGATAACCACAGAATAAATTACACCTTCCTCAACTCATATTTTGATATAATACATTCTCCATAACGACGAGATGACACAAGATACAAGATAAAACCAGTATTTTGTACAATCTACACATCTGTTTTCAATGTTACATGCTTTGCCAAATAAAGGAAATATAAATTTATGTGGAACGCATGTTTTCTGCTTGTTTTAAAAAAGAACCTATACAAACTTCTCTGTCTTTTCTTTAAACCATTTTCTCTCTTGCACGTGGACTCTGAGGCTGTAAAAATCTAAGTAACTACATATTAAAAGGTGTGAACTTAGATTATCATTCTGAAGACATCTGAATACACACTTAAGTAAAGATGAACTTCCAACACAGGCTTCTGTGGACAGCAATGTTATTTAGTTTATAAAAAAACACACTGAGGGCCCAATGCTATCCATCCTTAGACAGAAAAATGTCCCGCAGCAGGGAGTGCCTGCCCTTTTTTGTCTAAACCTGCTCAAGGGCTCAGGCAGGATGCAGAGCCTCCAAGGATTCCCAAAAAGGTGAGGCAGAGCTGTAGAAACAGAGTGGTGACATTTCGAGCATCCCCCAAACGAAATTCAAAGATGCACAAAGCCAGGTATGTGGTCCCACCCTCAGGTGCACAACCTCAAGTTCACAAAACAGCACAAAAGCTGAAGGTGCTGTCTTGCCTGTCTTGCAGTCAACCAATAGGTGGCACAACCACAACTCACAGTGGTCGCAACAGCATTTTCCTAGCTACAGAACACCGAGAGAGACAAAATATTGTGCCTCGGGGAACCTAGAAAGTGCGGGACCTACATGGCATAAATACAACTGTAAGGGAAGACAGAAAGGCTGTGTGGCAACACACGGGAAACAGAGGGGCTTTTCATCAGGCAATGAAAGGTATCCATAGTCCCCAGGCAACACCAGGGCAATACTTTAAATGTGTGAATGGATTTAACACACCGGGTTTTTCCTTTAGAAAACAGCAGCTACAGGGCGGTGTTGGGATGGGAAATGTGGCACACATCACCCAACCTGCCTATTTCTCCCACTCCATCCCCCCCCCCATTTTTAAATACAGGCAGCTGCATTTAACTGACCTGAAAACTACCTCCCAGGTGTTCAGTATGAATAACAGGTTCCAAAGAGCTATAGGTGGAACCTCTGTGCGAGAAAAAGGATTTCCCCCACTTTCTCCAGCTCTTCTGACATACCCTTTTCCCTTTACAGTTCCCCTGCTCACCTCCCCAAAATGCTCCTTCAGAAAACAGGGAAAACCTCCCAGTGTGGACCCCAAAGTGGGATCGGGCATTGCATTCCTAAGGGAAAATCCAGAGAGACCTGGTCAGGAAGCAGGAAAGTTCACCTGTACACCAAGATCTCCTTGGACTTTCACTTCCAGGTTCATCTACGGGAATGAAACACAGGCACACAAAGATGCTGGATATGCTATACCAAATGATTAATATAACATAAGTCCCACACATAGCAGGAATGTCATATGGCAACTCATCCATATTATCCATCTGAATGGATGTTTTCAAAAATCATCTTTGCAAATATTTGTCTCTCAGGTACCCGCAAACAAGCTAACATGTGAAAGCAATTAATGGGAACATTTGCCAGAAAACAAATAATGCTACACTTTCAATTTTCAATGAAATCACAGGTGCAGATGGTTTTCTTTTGTATAAAGGGACAGAAGGGGGGAAATTGGGGTTTGGCAAAACTAAGGCGATTTGGCTTATATTCAGCAGCTGTGAAAATAGATTCTGCAAAAGGAGATTCTGCAAACTTCACTTAAGCAGTCATCTACAACCCACTTGGAAATCCCAAGCAACATTACTAACATGCACTAAGCACTGTAAGCGAGGTATAGGCCCTTGCCATTTTTGGTATGTGAAGCACTGGAAAGATTCATGATATTCTGGTAAGTTGCACAATATAAAAACACACACTGGAGGATCAACATGACCAACAGAAGTAAGTTATCCTTTCATATTTTTTCCTTCCTAAAACCAGAGTTCCCTGAAATGGATTCTTTAAAAAACCAAGCCAATAATAAAAATGAAGAAGGGTGAGGTAACTATCCTTTACTTCCAGCAAAAGAAAATCATGGCTGGTACTGGTGCCAGGATACTAAGCTGTGATCCAGAAAGTTGCTTCACTTCAGCTGTGAATATACTAGGCGAGTGGTCCCAAACTGTGTTCCTAGGGCTCCAGAAAAGCCTCATAGGGGTCCTGTGAAAAATCTCAAAAATCAAATTTAAAACGGATTTTAAAATGAAACCACACAAGGCCAGAGATTCAATTGTCAGTTGGAAGCCAAACGGTAAACAAGGAAATGCATCACGTCATTTGGTTCCTAGGACTCTATTGCACAGTGTTGGAAATAACTGAAAGAATTCATTTGGGATATTACTCTGTAATCGCTTTATTCATTCGTTATATTTAAAATGTTTTCCCTTTATTTCCAGACCTACTATGTTATGCAAAGTACTCAGGCGATAGGAGCAGATGAGAGGAGGAGGAATGTTGTGGGTTCACAATGTTTAGTAAAAATCAGGGACAGAGTTAGGGTTCCACGAGGGGAAAAAATGTCTTCAGAAAGGTTCCATAACTGAAAAAGTTTGGGAACCACTGCACTAGGCAGTCTTTATAGGTCACTGGCCAAAGCTGTGCCATGCATATCATGTCCCTACCTCACTTCCTGGTTTGCAGGAATTAGTTTGTCCTAACACCCAGACTGAGGAAACGTTCATTACAACAAGCCATAGTGGAATGCAGCTAGTATTAATGGTGGTTTCCAATTTGGTTTGGACACAGACTATAGTTTGCATTAACTCTTGTTCACCCAGTCCGTGTCAGAAAGTGAGTGGATGCATCCCAGCACTGAAGAAAGCTAAGAGGATGGAAGCATGCAAGCCAAAAATCCATTCACAACACTGAATTAACTGGGCCCCTTTCTCAGCTTTAGTCACTCTATCTGCAATGTGATGTTAACACCGGTCTAATTTACCTGGTTGTAGCAAGGACTGAACACAGATCGTGCTGCATTAATGCCATGATTATTACTATTGCTATTAAGGAGTGCAAAATTGAGGACAGTGGGTGCGGTGGGGGTGGGAATGAACAGCACAGGAAATGTTTGTGCGCTCTTTTAAGGAAGTTCCAGGTCAAATGACCCATTTCTGGATGGGGGAAGACAGCGCAACAAGAACCTTTCCATTCCCAATGCATGACTTTCCAAGCATGAAGCTAAAGGCACAAAAAGCAAAAGCCCTGGAAACCGTGAAGTGCAGCGTGTTCATTAACCTCTACATGATAATCCTTTCGTAGCTGCATATTAACTAGTTACATATTCATAATCATTTACATTATTTAGAAGACCTTCTATGAAAATTTCCAGGCGATATCCATTAGCTGCAATGTTAAAGGTTACCCAAGATAGTCTGCTTAATGTTTCCAGGAAGCTTTTTTTAATTAGTAAATATGTAAATTGGGAGCATATGCTTTTTTTTTTCTTTTTCTTTTCTTTTTTGTTATTATTTTTTCTTGGGGAAAAATGGGCATCAGTAGAAAAGCACATGGACAAATGTTCTTTTCATCAACCTTCGTCCCTTAGACAAAAATCCATTTTAATTGTCCTCTCCTTCTTTGCTATCTCTCATGAAGGAATATTTGGACGGGTATAATCAAAAGAAAAAAAAATATGTCCCCAAACTCCATCACAGGCGTACAGGAAGACGCCTCCTACAGAGTCAGATCAATGGTCTATTTAGCTAAGTAATCTGTCTATATTGGCTGGCAGTGGTTTTCTGGGGTTTGGACAAGGCATTTGGACATCTCCCAGCCTGCAAATGCCAGTGATTGGACCTCAAACATTTTGCACACAAGGCTGTATTTTGCCAAGGAGCTGTGGAACTTTCCAAATGGCTGGGTTACACATAAAAATGACCAGGTTATATATATTCTGAAACGATGCACTGGTCTTTTGTTTGGAAATGCACTAACTGTGCTAAAACTAAGTAGATCGAAGTTTGTGGAAAGAAGGCAATAGACACAGATGAACATACAGTCACAAAAGGGAGTGAGAAAAATAAACAAATAAAATATTAATACTAATAGCAAAAACGTTCCCCAAATATGGGTCATTACATAACTAAAACAGCATGCCCCAGAGGGAGTTAACATAATGTTTGGAAGAAATCCAAGGTTTGCAGAAGTACAAAAATATTTTTTAAAGTCCCAAAGTGGGAGGAGACAAAAACAGCTCTACAAAGGAGACACTGATGGCTCACTGGCTGTTGTTGGGAGCAGAAAAGAACAGAATGGGAAGGGCAAAGCTGCTTGGGATCCTATCTCAAGAGAACTCAAGAGAACACTTTGCTGCAGGTCTCACTTGTGTTCTATATGGAACGCACACATCACAGGTGGCTGTTTCAATCTTGTCTGTGTGGATTGTGCAGTCTAACTGTATGCATGTCGTATTAGCTGTACCCTGGTGAACTCAGTGGTACCCTCCTCCTAAGCGTGCAAAGGACTGCAGAGGTGAACGGCTACACTACTTTCAGTGTCTCGCCACTAGTGTTTGAGCACCTGCTCGAACATTAAGGAGTACAGCTGAAAGAGATAGGAGGCTGTTACCGTCACAGAACAGTATCCACATTTTTTCTATCCCACATTCATGGCGCAATAACTATATGGCAGGATGGACACCGTGACAACTTAGATACTGGCAGCAATGGTTTTTAGAGGGCAGACACAGGAAAGCATCACTGCAACTTCTAAAGCAACCAGC